CTCAGTACTGGGATGAGGCGCTCGCCACAGCCACATACCTTCTGAACAGGCGTCCTTGCTCCGCTGTTCGCCACGGCATTCCATATACTCTCCTCCACAACAAACCTCCCGAGTATTCCCACTTACGTGTCTTTGGGTGTCTCTGTTATCCAAACTTGTCCGCCACGGCTCGCCACAAACTCTCTCCTCGCTCCACAACATATGTCTTTCTCGGCTATCCATCTTCCCACAAGGAGTACCGCTACCTCGACATGGCCACTAAGCATGTCATCGTCTCTCGCCATGTTGTCTTCGATGAGACTTGTTTTCCCTTCGAGCTTTACCCCTCTAGGTCCTCGCCAAGTGACCTGGATTTTTTGCTTGCAGGAACTACAGTGCCTGTGCGTCCTGCACCTTTGTCCTCTGCTGCTGGGTCGCCACATCCCAGTTTCATTGAGGAGCTGACCGACGACCCCGCGATCTTGTTCCACGGCCTTGTACTTCCTGCTGCTCCACCAGCAGCAGCTCCACCACCTACTGCTCCTCCAGCGGCTGTCCCGCGGGACATCCGACTCGTCTACAGCAGGCGTCCCAGGGCGCATGACGGCTCCTCTACAGCACCAGGCTCGGCTCCAGCACCAGGATCGGCTCCTGCATCTGCTCAGCCGCCTCCTGCCCCTGTCCAGCAGGCTACTGCTCCTGTACAGCAGCCAACGACGCCTGCAGCTCCTTCGGCACCTCCCGTCCAGTAGGAACGACGCATTACACGGACCCAGTCCGGGGCCATACTGGTTATGCGGTATGTGGGGCCCTCTGCGACGACCACTCTGTCTCCACTTCCCTCCAACTACCATAGCAGTTTGGCTGATCCAAACTGGCGTGCGATAATGGCTGAGGAGTACCATGCGCTCATCGACAACGACACATGGTGCCTCATCCTCGTACCCCGCCACCCGGCACCAACATGGTCACCGGCAAGTGGATCTTCAAGCACAAGTACCACTCCGATGGTACCCTCGCCCGCCACAAGGCTCGCTGGGTGGTTCGTGGCTTCTCTCAGCGCCACGGCATCGACTACGATGAAACATTTAGCCCGGTGGTCAAACCAGCAACCATCCGAGCTGTCCTTAGCATTGCTGCCTCACGTGCCTGGCCTATTCATCAGCTAGACGTCAAGAACGCTTTCCTCCATGGACATCTGGAGGAGACCGTCTACCGCCGAAGCCCCGTGCCGTCGATCCCGATTTTCCCGATCATGTGTATGCATTGCGGCGCTCCCCTCTGGCTTTCAAGCGGGCTCCCGAGCTGGTACCAGCGATTTGCGACATACATTCGCCAGCTCGGGCCGTCGCCTCGGCTTCAGACACCTCCCTCTTTGTCTACAAAGACAGGACCAATATCGCCTACCTGCTTCTGTACGTCGACGACATTGTCCTCACTGCGTCCTCGATGGCATTGCTATAGCAGATCATTGGGCACCTCCACTCTGAGTTTGCCGTGACTGACCTGGGTGCACTCCATCACTTTCTCGGCATCTCCGTCACTCGCTCCGCCGACGGGTTGTTCTTATTACAGCGACAGTATGCTGTTTAGCTCCTTCAACGCGTCGGCATGGCTGAGTGTCACTCTACAACGACACTGTTGACACTCATGCCAAGCTTTCTGCCACCGCTGGTGCCCCTATTGCTGATCTGTCCGTGTACCGGAGCCTTGCTGGTGCACTGTAGTACCTCACGCTGACCCGTCCTAACTTGGCATACGCCGTCCAACAGTGTGCCTCTTCATGCATGATCCCCGCGAGCCGCATCTCTCGATGATCAAGCGGATTCTACACTACCTGAAGGGCACTCTCTCCTCTGGCCTCCACATTGGTGTCGGCCCTGTTCAGTCACTAGTCGCCTATTCCGATGCCGACTAGGCTGGCTGCCCTGACTCTTGGCGCTCCACCTGCGGCTATTGTGTCTACCTCGGCGACAATTTGATTTCTTGGTCCTCCAAGTGTCAGACCACGGTCTCCCGCTCCAGCGCCGAAGCAGAGTACTATACTGTTGCTCATGTGGTGGCCGAGTGTTGCTGGCTGCGCCAGCTCCTGCAGGAGCTCCATGTTCCTATTGCTTCGGCGACGGTTGTCTACTGCAACAATGTCAGCGCTGTCTACATGACAACCAATCCCGTTCATCATCGTCGCACGAAGCACATTGAGATTGATATTCACTTCGTCCGTAAGAAGGTCGCCTTGGGCTAAGTTCGGGTCCTTCATGTGCCGTCCTCTCACCAGTTCGCAGACATCATGACTAAGGGCCTTCCTGTACAACTATTTACTGAGTTTAGGTCCAGTCTTTGCGTCCGGGATCCTCCTGCTTAGACTGCGGGCGGGTATTAGGCAAGTCTATGTGTGATTAGCCATAATTAGCACCTTCTATGTATACTTGATTGTATTCCTTGTATACCCAGTCATATTGGCTATATATATGAAGGTCACCCCCCATATTGGGTGTGAGGTGTGTCTCTACAATACTGTTTGTTCTCCAATTCTCATAGCAGTAGCAGTAACATCAGAAGCTGCAAGCTGTCGATTAGTTATTGGACACGTCCATTTTGCCTTATTTGGGGTGACAAGGTCAATAGGGTGACCATGGCACTTGCATGCCTGTTCAGTCAATGTGTTCTGCGTTAGCATAGCTGTTGAAGAGGCTGAACTGTGAATAGGAATCATGGATAAGTAATTGCCATTATCTGAAGGAAATAAAAAGTTGAAAAAAATGATGATAAAATCACCAAAAATATATGCAGAAGTTCCTTTTATCAGTCATATTCTTCCACTAATAAATAGGTATATAGAACAAACTCAATGCTTGCAAGTCACAAAAATGAACATTGAGCAGTGAAAGGGAAACGCCAGACTCAGATATTCTTCCACTATATTAGCATGTTCGTTTCGTCGTAAACGATCGTGGATTATTTACTGCTGGCTGGTTTGGTGTGAGAGAAAAATACTGTTCCAACTTATAATCAACGATCGTATACAAGCAAGCGAACATGCTTATGTTCTGTCACTGAACTTTTTGAATTAAATAGTGAGTGGTGTTATAAAATGACTCATATCACCTGGCAAGGTGGAAAACCATCAGTTATCTGGTTTGCTGATGCATACAGGTTGCAATATATGTGTTTAACAGAATTAATAATGGGATCTCTGAACACAAATACAGCTTGCAGTGTATCCTCCTTGTCATCCTTCAGCTCTTCTAACCACATTTTTTTAGCCATAAATACAGCAAGGGAAGCCCCCACTGTTGGTATATAAATTCAAATAAAATAAACTGTACAGAGAGAAAGGGAGATAGGGAAAGGACTACAGTCTACAGGCTGTACAACTGTACAGAAAGAGACCCCATGCAGAACTTGGGTCTCTGCAGTTCCAAATATATAGCAAACATATATAGTGTTAGGTTACCTTACATGCAAGAAGTGTTGAATGTTAACCTGAGTGTAAGGATAAGGAACTCCTAATATGGCAATGATAGTTGTTTAAGTCATTCATCAAAATGTAACTCCATGGTAGCATGATCTAAAATGATATAGAAAACAAACTAAATAGCATGACCATGTTATGATTTGTAGGTTGGTCGTGAAAGATCATCTTATTATTGTAACATAAACAACAAAACCAGTAAATAGTTACTAATATCATGAGACTTCCTTACCAGGATTGTATCTCCGTACCACACAGTTTTCAAGATCACAAATTCTGTTTATAAAAGAATTAGCATTTTCAGAAGCACCACCATACATGAATGTAGCTTCTGCTTCCAACATTATAAAATCCACCGCAACACACTGTTCTGCTGCATCCTGATGACAATACAAACAGTGATCAGAGGATGCTATCATAAAGATCAAGGAGTTAATGGGGGAAAGCATCACACAACCCCTTTCAGGAAAAATACAAATTATTATGCTAATACCATAAGAGATCTTCGGAGAGCTTCTGTATTTTGTGCAGGCATACATATAGGCATATAGCAATCATTTTCTTGGAGATGTCATCAGTAGCCCAAGAATAGATGGCTTTGTTGCTAAAAAGGTTTGTTAGTGACACATCTGTGCATAAGAAACAGGATCAGGCAAACTTCCATCTGAAGATCACTATCCTGTTAAAATACATGCACATTCACAATATTTATGTGCTTCTGAGTTTGTTTTGATCTTGTACCCATCAAACAATGAAACAGGAAGATCATGGACCAATATAATTGTCATTACCTCCAGTAGGCAGAGATCCACCAGGTTGGTCAGCACGAAAGCCATCCAGAGGTATGTTATTTACAGCATGTGTAAATCTCGTAGACTGAATTTTTCGCCAGGCCTATACCCAATCTTTAGCTGAACAAAGACAGGTGGCGGGCTGGACGAAACGAATAGGCAAGGCATTCAAACAGACTCGGTCCATTTCATCTCCAGAGGCACAAATCACATCATAAAGCAACATAAGAATGTGATCCGCCAGAAGCCAGAACCATTGCCTTGTAGGCTTGTACTAGCCTTGTAGGAGTAGCACTATACTATCTTTCTCTAGACTACAAGTTACAGGGGAACTGGAACTTGTACTGCTTCTACACAAGTTCAAACTCAACTAAAACCCTTAGAAAGTAAGATTCAGAATAGAAAAAGCAGGAGCTACACCTGTGTCAGTTCATCCAGCAATCTGCTAGTGCTGATTCTGTTCAGAATAGCAGCAAGGTGAAGATCAGCAGCGAAGTCTGCTCATTCATGAGTTCATGCTGCCTACAAGCCTCAGCACCAGGCCTCTGTAATTTACTGCCACAACACAAGCAATAGAGAGAACATGTCAGACCCAGACCAGATAGGCAGATCATAGCCACACAAGCCTTCTGTGGGCATACAAATGAACTCAAGAACAGACACTGCGATCAAGAAGAGCATGTTCCATCTTCCATTCGGGTCACTGCAGCAGCCATTCAGCCAGGACTTCCGGACAGAAAACATGGAGCCATCGTTCAGGGGCAGGAGGCTAAAATAGGACCCATTCTTGTCGACACAGCACGCCTGCCAGTCTGCCACTTTATCTGATATGAGCCTTCAGGGAACAAGGAGACATCCAGCAGACAGCTTGAGAACCCCTGCCCACTATCTGTTGGTTCAAAGCACGCAAAGGCAGTCACCATGTCCATGCCACAATGGGAATTCTTCTTCTCGTTCCTGGCCTTCCTCAGATCATTCTTTATGTACTGCAGCAGCTTGGAGTTCAGTTCCACCATTTCCGCTGTCCTGCGCTGATCAAACTGCTTGCTTCTCGTTCCTGCTGCCTCCGGGCAGGTCTCTAAGCTTGCGGCTAAAATGCAGTACAATTTCACGGCGCGAATGGTGCTTCTTTCTAACACGCGCTTCCACTTCATGCAGAGGGTTAGAGACAATAGGAAACCAGGCTCTATTGACATTCCTTTTTCATTCACAGGATTTGAATCAAACATGTAAAGTTCGGCACCAAGGCAAGGCCTGCATACATGCCAAAAATGAAAAATGTCATATGATGTTTGGATTGGAAGCTCCATTTGCACAAACATTAGCGTAGTGCTTATCACATAAACAGGCAAGATAACAAAGCATCTCATGTTGCAAAAGTAACAATTTAATATACTAATAACACTAACTTTTCTTTCCGTCCCTAAACAATACTTAACATACGCTAATATAAAAAATGGCATCTCGTATATAATTCATCCAGCATAGTGAAACAAAATACTGACCTTACTCTGAAAAAGTACTTGGGAACCACGAAAGGTAATTCCAAATACTTCTGCAAGATGCTGGACAAAACTTGCAACCCTCCTTGCAAAGCAGATAAACAATCCTCTCCATTTTGTATTTTTTCAGCTTCAGCACTATCACATACACGGATACACCAAGCAAAGATGCCACAGCAAAATGGCAAAGAGAATACAAACCCTTCTCCAGATTACATGAACCACTGATCCGTGTCCTGGACTGTAAGCTGTCAAGTTCATCAAAGGAAGTGGACATGAACTGTCGCAACTGGGAAACAGTCTGCCAGTCAGAGCCATCTACTCTTCCATGCAGATCATGTAGGATTGAAGCATGGGAAAACCTCTTTGGAAGCTTGCAGGACTCTACGTAGTTACATGCCTTTGAGAAATAAACAGAATACGCGGTACAAAATGCCAAAAGTACCGCCTCCTCTTCAATGCCTCTACTGTCATATCCATCGGCCACGGCAAAAAGACCAAATTCTGGCACCACAGTTGGTTGGATGGCGAGGCGCCCAAAAACTTAGCACCTCACCTCTTTGAACTGGTAAGAATGAAAAACAAAACGGTGCATCAAGAGCTAAGCCAAGATGCTTGGATACAAACTTTGGGGAGGAAAATCACTACGTCGTCTCATTTGCAAGAATTCGTCTCGCTCTGGATACGCATCCAGGATTTTCAGCTGCAGCCGGATATAGAAGATCAAATCACTTGGAAATGAACCAACAACGGGCAATACACCACTAAGTCGGCCTATCACGCTCAATTCTTTGGTTCCTACAGGAGGTACAAGGCCAAAATCATCAGGCGTGCACGAGCGGAGAACAAGTGCAAAGTGTTCGCTTGAATTCTTATCCAAAACAAGCTGCTAACAGCAGACAATCTCGCTCTCAGGGGATGGCCTCACCAAGATAACTGCATTCTCTGTAATGGCCCGCTTGAGACAGGTCTTCACCTTTGCTTGGACTGCCCCTTTGCTCAGGAGGTATGGTCTACAGTTGCAGCCTGGGAAAACTTCGGCAACCTCCAGCAAGTCCTTCAAACTCAGGCGGACACCTTAATTGAATGGTGGGAATCGACATTGACCTCAGTCCAGAAAGAGAGGAGACGGGAGTTCAATGGAATGGCTATTCGTATCATGTGGAATTTGTAGAAGGAACGTAATCGCCGAATTTTTTACAATAATTACTCCACAGCACTCTAGGTGGCCGGGCGAGCCAAAGATGATCTAGTGCAATATAGAAGGGCTTTCACAACACCTAGTCATTAGACTCTACTGCCGGGCTAAGGCTCCCCTGTGTACAGTTTGCCTCCACAGTTTGGCTGTGTGTTTGCTTGCCCCTTTTGGCCCTAGTGCCACTCTGTACATATAACTCCTCTTTATCCCCTTAATGAATGGCAGAGCTCCTGCCCTTACTTCAAAAAAAAAATGCCAAAAGTGAGCACATCAAAGCAAGCCTGGCTATACTACTCGAGCTATGTCGATCCAGGTCCATATGGGATGCAGCAAGAAGATCATAACTTTTTGCCAAGTCACTTAATCTTAGAGAGCAATGATCCAAAGCAAGTACTTGGTCTTTGATAAACTCTCCAGACAAAGTTAAATGGTCTCCTCTTGCTTCATAAGAAGAGTGTGCATTAAGGATACCAAGAACATTTGTTAGGACCTCAAGAAATGATGATCTAAGGCTGATGAACCACCTCTGGAATAAGAAGTCATTATCTGAAGAGGCACTGGATGCAAGAGCATTATTTGCTAATAATGTTCTGCCACAAATATCAGATATCTTTGCTCGGAAACCATGCAACTCTGATGATCTACTGAGGGTGCTATCAGCATCTGTTTCAGTACAGTAAAGATCCTCACTAAAATCACCCTCCATTTTTAGCTCACCAACTAACTTTATAGTTGCTGAGGGAAAAAACAATAGTTTCATCTCAATTTCGCCAGAAGCAAGAAGTAGCAACGATTTGAGCCAAAAACTGAAAGAGCCTGCTTCAAAAGCATCTGCCAGTTTTATGAAGACAAAAGAAGCTGTGAACCAGAGACCTTTACGACAACAGTACATAGAAGACCTATAAGCTTCCCAGTATTTCTGCTTCTTTGTAAGCATTTTGGTCATTCGAAGTGCACATAATTCCTGAGTTATCCAAACAGAAGGAGTGAAAAGTGTATTACGATGCTCTTTTGAATCACCAGATTCTTGATTACCACCACTGATTTTACAAGTATTCTGGGTAACACAAGCACACATTATCAAATGGAAGGATTCATATGTGCTCCAGTGCTGAGGAGCATCCTGATGCACATACTTGATTAGACCCTTGATGCTATCATGAGGATTGTATCTAGCACCATATGTTTCACAGAGCACCTCATGACAAGCATTTGCAAATTTGAGGGTGCAACGAATTAGGTCATGCATTATGGACTTTCTATTCTTGCAATCAATTTTGAGAAAATCCAGTTTTCCATTGCCAATATCTGTTCCAATGCATGAAGCTTCGATGCTTGTAGCTAACAGTTGAACATTGTCATCTGAAGTGCTCAATTCTTTAAGGGCAACACTTGTCTGGAATGGTTCAACAGAAGTAACAGAAACTTCAGAGTAATCACTTCCATTAATTAGAAACAGTTCTTTTACAAGGCTTTTCAGTATATCAAGAGCTACAGAAGCAGCAGAAGGGTAGCATGAAACAAGCTTCAGCATAAGTCTGAAAGGAGTTTTGTATGCCTTATCCACTGCAGATGATATGCAGATATTTCTGCTAGCAACTTCATTGACCAGAGATATAATATGATTCACAATCATTGCAATGATCTTACACAGAGGTCCGTTCATACTATTATCTTCAGTTAATGGTATGTTGTTCATCATTCCTTTCCACTCAGCGTATGCAAATGACGAACCCTTAAGAACTGATATGTTATCTGACCTCACTTCCTTGAGAATACAAAAGATTTCCACAAGAATTTCCATAGCGGTACCTTCCATCTCCAAAGAAGAAGAATCTAAAGAACTTTCAGCAGCTAGAAGAAGCTTAGATAACTCAGAACCATTGGCATGATGATTACTTGACGCTTTACAGCATAACATCTGAAAACGTATTTTTACAATCAGATAAGAGAAAATGGAGTATAAATCAAGCACAGCAAGTAGTCATCACCTTCTGCAGAATCCTTAACACATCGCTCTTACAGTCAAGTGGAAAATCCTCATCATCAATTGGTGGCAACAATCTGCCAAAAACAGTCCTAATAACTGGAAAATGGCAGGTATTTCTGCGAAACATAAAACGCATGCATTTTAACGCCACAGACTTCACAGAAGAGGAATCATGATCCATAAACAGTAACAGTAAATCCACCTGCAATAGGAAGTTGATCAAAGAAATAAAATTAGTTCAAAACCAATCAACAGTGGAGAATAGTCATATTTGTGGATCATTGCTGGCCCCGAGGGTCTTATCCGGAGAATCAGGTAAATGCATAGCTTTTTAAGTTAATATAGAAGTTTGCAGCCATATAAAACGGAGGGTGCAATATGAATGCTAGTGCCAAAGAAGGGAAGGAGGTTTTTTGGGATAACCTCCAAGTACTGTGAATCTGTGTATATGATGGATCCAATGTTGCATAATTTAAATTTTATCTAGCAGTGCTTTCACATTACAGAAAGCACAAAGAAGCAGCTGTATTCCAGTAAACTGACAAAGGATGAAGTATAGGGGGGAAATTTCACAAGGAAGGCCAACGGAGGGGCCTCCCGGTGCCAACGCCGGGGATAGAACCCGGGTCGCCGGCTTGAGAGCTGGCTCAAGGAGCCACTTGGACTCACCAGCCCTACGTATAGGAAAACTAATATTGTTTGAAAAAGGGAAAATGCAATTGCCAATGGAAATTTGGGACCATATGTCACTTAAATTGAAATCTTTTTCAATAAATAAAACTGTATGCTTAACATGACATAATAGGAAACACAATTGCAGGGATGATAGCATTGCGCTACCTGGTCAGAAAACAAAATGATCGACTTGGATGACAGCCTTGAGAGCGAAAAGAGCATTTCAGATTTGAAGATATCTTCCAGTGTGCCTAGAACCATCTGTTTTCCAACCTGGAGGTTGACAATAAAAATCTCTTCTTAAAGTTCAGTGAGTACGACGGCATAAAAAAATATGAAGAAAAACTGGAATGTGAAAGCGGAATGAACACTATCCTGTTCTCTCCATTTCAAAATCCCCTGTATCAGTTATTGCCAAGGATGACTCGTCATCCTCGTTGCGTCTGACAAAGTGACGAGGCCGACATGCATGGACGTTGACACTTCCATTCCAAAGATGGATTTGGTCTCCTTATAGATGACGAACGGGCCCGCACGGCACGCCGTGCCACCCGGGCCGTGCCTAGCCTTCGGCCCAAGCACGACACTATGGGCCGTAATTCATGCCGTGCCGGCCCGCTAAGCATGGCTAGATCTACGGGCCGTGCCGGCCCAAAGCCCGGTGACCTTAAGGCACCTCAAAATGCTTCTCATCCAACACTTAGCACAAATTCATTCATTCAAATTTCAAAATCTCAATTCACAAGTCACAATCACAATGGTTCACAGATTCAAATTTCTAAGTAAATGACCAAATGACTCGTTCACAATCATAATTGTTCACAGATTCAAACTTCTAAGTAAATGACCAAATGACCAAACTTAGTTACTTAGTCACAAGTTGATCACATATTCTAACTTCTAAGTCAAGAACTTAGCAAACTCCAAATGACCAAATCCAACAAAACAAAAGGCACCAAAGGAGATAAGATGAATGAGCTGTTTGTGCAATGCTGCCTCATTAAAAACCTTTCTAGGTAAAACTCACCCTTGTGAAAAAACCCTAGAAAGGAAAAAAGAGTGCAGCACAGCTCTTAAACTAAATCATTGTCCAAAGGTCTCACAGTCACAATCGATGACAGATACAGATAACGCTCTCCTCTCTCAAGTCTCACACTAACTCACTAAGTACCAGCACCAGTCCAGTCCCCACTCCCCAGATAACACTCTCCTCTCTCAAGTCTCAGCTCTCAAGTCTCACACTAACTCACTAAGTACCAGCACCAGCCCTATATAGCACTCTCATCTCTCAAGTCTCACACTAACTCACTAAGTCTCACACTAATCAGCACCAGCCCCAGATGTACCACCAGCCCCAGATATACCAGCAGCCCTAGATGTAGCACCAGCCCCAGTTGTACCAACAGCAGCCCTAGATTCATCTTCATCAAGATACAAATTCTTGAAGGAGTCTTCCAACTCTTGGTTGTAAACAACATGTTGTAACATTCTTTCTCCTAACTTCCAATCCTTTATGCAGGTCAGCATCTCCATAGTTTCAGGCAACAAGCGTCGTTGCCGCTCTTCAATTATCCTTCCTGTCAAGCTGAAACATGATTCTGAATAGATAGTAGAAACATGAACTGACATAATATCTCTAGCCATTATAGATAGGATTGGATAGGTTAGTTTGTGATCACGTCACTAGAGAAGTAAATCAAAATCATCCTCATATGCAGTGACATTGTCACTGTCTAGATAAACTGAAAGCTCACAAACAGCAGAACTAGATAAAGATGAAGTGGGGGCAGAGGTAGGGGAAGGACCAACAATACCAGATCCAGGGCCTCCAAAGATTCTTCCCCATGCCTGTTTTTTCTTACCTGTATGACTTACAGGATGTGCATCCCTTTGAGACCTAGCTACACCTAAACTTTCTCTCATATTTGTTAAACAACTTGTAAATTTTAGTTTTCACATCAGCATAATATGAACTGTATTCACAACCAGTGGTCTCTTTAAGTAATTGTAGAACATTAAATAAACCTCTCATCTTAGCTTTATGATCAAGAATGAATGCAAATGAATATAACAAAAGTATATCCTACCAGTATTTAAGGAATTTAAGCTTCATAGGATATACAACAGCTATTAGATTTTGATCTTTTTCACTTACATGCAAATGAGAATAAATCTCTAGTAGATGGTGCAGAATAAGTGGATTAGTTGGATAGTAAACACCAGAAAGAACAACAATGGAGTCATAAAATAGTTCCAGAAACTCCAATATCTTTTCAACTACATACCAATGCCTTGCAGACAACAATTGTGAACCATAATTGGAATTAATGAACATAGAAAACATATGCTTATATGGAACCAAGTTTTTAAGCATAATGTATGTAGCATTCCATCTAACATCCATATCTAAGCCAAACTTTCTAGGTCTAACACCTTGAGCAGTACAGTAGTTCTTGAACATAGCAATTCTTTGATTAGAGGAATTTAAGAAGTTAATAACAGTTCTAAAATCTTCTATGTAAGGTTTGAACCTCTTTAAACCAAATTTTACAATCAGATTAATGATATGACAAGCACAACGTTGATGCACAAGACTATACTTACGCTTAGAAGGATCTGAAGGCTCAGGTGAAGGATCAGGACCTAAATAACCAGTAAACATAGATGTCAAAGTAATCATAGCTTTAACATTATAAGAAGCATTGTCTAAAGTTATAGAGAAAACCTTATCAATCAGGCCATATCCTCAATCACACAAGCAATTCTTTTAGCAATATTTTCACCAGAATATTTCACCTCAATCAAACTAAGACCAATAACCTTTTTTCTGTAACTCCCAATCAGCACTCACATAATGAGCAACAACACTAATGTAGTTCTTCTTGGCATTACCAGACCAAATGTCTAAAGTCAAAGCAACAGGGGAAGCAGCAGACAACACAGAATTCTTAAGCATATTACGATGTTCAGTAAACAGCTTACTAAGATCTCTAGTGGTGGTCTGTCTAGATACCTTAACAAACCTAGGGTTATGAGCACGAACAATGTACTCCTCCTAGGCCTCTGTCTCACCAATACCTAACGGCAAATCAAGCCTAGCAATCAAGCGACACAACTTAGATCTAGCAACATTAGGTTTATAGTCCTAGTTATGCACAGAACCATCAGGATTGTAAGCAAGCCTAGATTGAACCCTAGCAGCTTGATCAGTTTTTTGCTTACAAGATTTCTGGTGCCTCTTCAAGTGGCCAGTGCTAGCAGAAGATCTAGCAGACAACGTATGCTTACATATTTTACAGGTAGCTTTTAGTGCAAATCTGCCTACCATTCACAGTCTCATAGACCTCATCAAAATCAGCCCACACAGCAGATTTACGCTTACCAACAGAAGAGGTACCAGCAACAGATGGAGATGAGATGTTGGAGGTGACCGGGGTCCCAGTCACCGTCGCCCCTTCATCATCGCCGCGACCGTCGCCGTCTAGATCGATCTGAGCAAAGCCGCTACCGACATCGATACCGAACAACACAACAGCGTCCTCACGGGGGTCTTCATCGTCCTTGCCCTCGGTGGCCAGGCCTAGCGGCAAGACGACATCGCCTTTAGCCATGGCGCCCTCGTCGTCCTCCTCTCCAACCCCGTTCCTCAACGGTGCGCGGGGCCACCTTGGTCGCTCTATGCCACAGCTAGAGGACGATGCATCGGCTACCGACCTACGCAAAGAGAAGAAGAAGAAGGGTTAGGGTTAGGGTTAGGGTTAGGGTTCATACCTACGCAACCGGAGCCCGGTGCCAGAGAAAGAGAAGACGAGGGCCACCTAGAGGAAGACGACACATCGATTAGCAACGACGGCGAGCGGCAGAGTAGGGACAGACGGGGACACAAACTCACATAATCACTGAGATCTAAAGGGGAGAGAGGGAGACACAGAGAGGGAGGGGATCAGGGTCAAGGAGGAGGAGAAGGGAGCGTCGTTGCCGGCGGCAGGCGGGTCGGGGTTGGGGTCACCGGAGTCGGCGAGGACGGACACCACCAGAGGAGACCGCAATGCGCGAGGCGAGAGCGAAACGAGAGAGCGGCATGGCGGGTGGGGAAATGATTTAGGGTTTCAGGGTGACGGGAGGGAGCGTCGTGGCCTCTCGGTTATATATGAGGGGGGTAGGCGGGGGCGCGGGGCCGCGGCCGCGAGGAGCTGTTGAGGCCAGCTGGCCAATTGGGTTGGGGGGATAACGGGCCACTGCCGGGCTGGCCGTTGAAGGTTGGGTTGCGTCTTGGCACGGCACGCCGTGTTCGGGTAAGGTAAGGCCCAGGCCAGCTCGCTACATACAAGGGGCGTGTGCGGCCGGGCCCAGACGCCATCGGGGCGGGCCGTGCTCGTGTCATGCCAAATTTGCGAGCTTTGGGTCGGGCCGCTGCGTGCCTCGGGCTGCATGGACATCTCTGGGTCTCCTAATTGACAGATCATCAAAAAAACACTCTCAAATTTGGTACCGACTGATCAATCAATCAACAATCGCACGATATCTCTTATAGAGAGCTCTCGCTTTCCTTGCACGCATCTCTTCTTATATAGCCACATTCCTCCGTAGCATGTCGATGCCTCCCTTTCCTCAAGCATTGCTCTCGCCATTGAGAGCCCATTCCAAAGTGTATGTGGCAACGATGGCCATGGCGAAAGAGGCGGAGAGGGTCGACGAGGCCGGCGGGGACCGCAAGAGGAAGAAGACGCTGGGGCGTCAGAACATCGAGATGAAGCCCATCCAGTGCCCCGAGGCGAGGCACGTGTGTTTCTCCAAGCGCCGCGTTGGCCATGGCCTCCTCAAGAAGGCCACCAAACTCTGCGAGCTCACCGGCGCGCAGCTCGCCATCATCGTGTTCTACCCAGCCCCCGCCGGGAAGCCCTACTCGTTTGCGCACCCCTCCGTGGACGCCGTCATCGAGCGCTACTGCAACCCCTCCCCCTCCGCCGCCGCGATGGCGAGCGAGGCGACGACGACGCGCCCGACGATCATGTGTGGCTTCAACAACGAGTGCGAGCGCCTGCGCAAGGCCATCGCGGCGGAGGCGGGACGAGCTAGACGTGGCGGCGCGCGCGGCTGGCGTGTGGACCGCTGGGTCGCCAACGACTCTCACTACCGCGGCAGCCCCGTCTCTCCAGCGGCAGCGGTGGCGGCGAAGTCCAAGGCCACCGCGGCAACCCCGCTTCTCAGCGTGCGGCGGTACCAGAGGCCGCGCCCCCTGCGAAGCTCGTCGCGGCACCGGCACCGGCACCAGCCCCAGCCCCAGCCCTGGAGACCAAGCCCACACAGGTCCTCGCGCCAGCCAAGAAGACACTATTCTCTTTCTCCAAGGACAAAAGGAACAGGTAACATTCACGCCATGTACCAAACAAAGAGCGTTTACGGTCTCTTGTAACAGCTAGCCCCGGTAACCGATTGCATTAGCATTCCCGTTGCCACCGCGGAAACCAAACAGCGCCAAAGTCATGATGATAAACTGCGATCATTGGTGTTCGCTCTAAACCTCAGTAAACGCAGAACCAAGGCTGACCGTCATTGTGAAGGTGGTGCACTGCCACGGCATGGAGGGGCATGAGACATAGTAGCTCCGCTGCCTTCTCCCAAACCTCGGATTTGATGCCAATTGTCGCCCTAACTCGTGAACGCCCTCTTCTCTCTCGATCACGCTCTTGCTCTGTTGTCGGACGGCAAACAGAACGGAAGAACGGATGAAAATCGCAGAGATTTTTGGCGCTGCAAGCAGCAGCTTTTCTGACTCAATTTGCAAACACAAGTAGAGGGAATTGCAATCGAACGCGACCTTTCTGCGGCCACGAACGCGCACGGCAACAGATCGAGTAACCGACTGCCGACGCAGGTCACCCGCATCGTGCTCGCCATCGACGCGCTCTGCAGCGCGCTATCCGCGCCACCGAGCTGCCGTGCGCGCGGCAACAGAGTAACAGACTGCCCGCGCACGCACACGTCACACACGCTAACGCTATGTTTGTACACGCACATCAGATTATTGCTAACACGGACTACAGTAGCAGTGCCAGTGTGCACAGGCCTCTCATCATTGTCGAGCTTCACGCGGTGAGACCGAGCCGCTGGAGGTGATGGTCAGTGTCCTCCGGGTGTTCGTCGAGCTCCCGCTGCCGCGGCGGCAGCACCCACCGCCCGTCCTCCGTCCTCACCATGCCCTTGTTCTCCGCCTGGTTACCACACGGGCGGACCATGTGCTCGTCGCGGAGGAAGTCGGCCGACTTGTTCACCAGCGCGGGGTCCCTGCCTCGGAGCTCGAACCCCTCGCCGGAGCCACGGAAGCCGTCTAGCAGATGCAGGTGCGCCTCCAGATTGTGGTAGGCTGGTAGCACGAGATGTCCAGGGTCTCCTTGAGGAACGGCGACGCCCTGTGGTCCAGCTCCAGCGCCACGCCCAGGTGCGTGTACACGCCGCCGACGCCCAGCCCGTCCACCGCCCGCAGCACGAGCTCCGGGAACGCCGCCTCGATGAAGAACACGCCGGACACCTTGGGCACCCTGTCGTGCACGTTCACCACGCGCAGCGCCCGCACGCCGAGATCCTCTCTCCACGTTCACGTCCGGGTCCGGGCACGGGACGCCCGTCTCGCGCAGCGGGATCTGGTCGGACGTCAGGTCCGCCACCCACTCGAGGCGGGTGATCGTGCCACGCCACGCCACGGCGATGTCCCGGCGGCCGAGCCGCGCCGTCTCCTCGTCGGTCGACACGGCCACGTACCCGATGAACGTGCCGGACTCGCTCCACAGCTTTGCGTCGGAGGCCGTGTGCTTCCGGTTGGCGAAGTTGGGGAGCTTCAGGCCGTTGCAGGTGGCGAAGAGGTAGCGGCTGACCTCGTAGCCGACGCCGACGAGGCCGACGTCGTGGAAGAAGTTCCTGGCCGGGTACTTGCAGCTGCCGCAGTAGGGGGAGAAGCGGTCGTAGTCGAAGCTGTCGTAGGTGGCCTGCGCGAACTCGCCGTAGCGGATGAGCTCGCCGCGGAGCACCGCGTCGAGGGGGTCCAGCAGACCATCCCAGCTGTTGCTACCATGGATCTCCCGCCACCGTGCGGCCAGTTCTCCGTCGTCAGAGAATGCCCGGACGGCTTCTCCGCCTGATCAGAGCCGCGGCCCGTGTCCCCGATCACAGGGGCCGCCCGGTCGGTTGTCAACGCCGAGGCGACGACGACGACATAGTGGCAAGAACGACGACGACGGCGCTGAAGCGTGTCCTTCATCAGTGCCGCATTGGGGAAGCCCCAGTGGTGCACGGTGACGGTGGAGAGGAGGCTCAGGCAGGAGGATATGGTGGCCGCCATCACCTGCTTGGTGTGGTCAGTGGTCACCGTCGACGTCGACGCGATCAGAGATCAGACGACGTTATGCTTGTTTTGAACGTCAAGGTGGCCTAGCTAGTAGACTACTCGTGCCGTCGTGCGCGCAGTGGCTACAGTTTTCTTCCTTTCCTGGCACTGGAACGCGTGCTTTGCCGAGGGCCTGAAGATTTGCCGAGGGCCAAATCTCGGGCACTCGACAAAGATGCTCTTTGCCAAGGGCCAGACACAAGAGCCCCGGTAAAGAACGGCCCTCGGCAAAGAGGCCTTTGCCGAGGGTACGACCCTCGGCAAAGACAGGTCCTCGGCAAAGATGTCCTCGGCAAATTAGGCCCGTTGGGTCACGGCGGCCATTTCCCGTCAAGCTTTGCCGAGGGCCACCCGTTAGGCCCTCGGCAAAGATTTTTTATTTTTTTTTAAATTCTTTGCCGAGGGCCCAGATCCACGGCCCTCGGTAAAGATTTTTTATTTTTTTTAAATTCTTTGTCGAGGGCCCAGATCCACGGCCCTCGGCAAAGATTTTTTATTTTTTTAAAAAATTTCTTTCGAGGGCCGAGATCCGACCCTCGGCAAAGATTTTTTATTTTAAAAAAATTCTTTCGGGAACCAAAGAAACCCTCGTCAAAGAGCCCTCAGCAATTTTTTTTTTGGTTTTTTTAGCCCAGTTTTTTTGTGGTGCTACAATACATTGTTTTGAACTCAATTTTAAAATTTAGGCCAATTTTGATTTTGTTTTGTATATTTTCTTAATTTATTTCGATTCTTTGATTTTTTTCGAATATGTCAAATTTGAATTGTAGGTGCATGGAATATTGCAATGTAGTGTTTCGAAAAATGTTATTTATGTTAATTGGTGCATGTTGAGTCCCTATCCACGACCCGCATCAAATTTTCACGCATCTTGTTAGCGTAACATGGCGACCAACTGCTTAGGAAAAGTGTTTTAAAATTATATAAAATCCATATTAAAAAAAATCACGAAAACTTGGCGAGATGCCATGTTATCAAATGTGGCTGTGGTAAAAATTGAGAAAGGCTTGACGAGTTGCGGCGTCGGATGTTCAGAATCTCCACATGCGATATTTTGAGGTAAAAAAATTTTTTTTTTTGAGATTTTTTTTGTCGAGGGTTTCGCCTTAAGGAGGGCTGAAAATGCCGGCGAAAATTTTAAAAATTTTTTAAAAATAAAAATTTTTTTTGAGGGCCGGATGGCCCTCGGAAAAGAATTTAAAAAAAAAAAAAAATCTTTGCCGAGGGCCGTGGAATCGGGCCGTGGATCTGAAAGAATTTTTTAAAAAATAAAAATCTTTGTCGAGGGTCGTGGATCTAGGCCCCAGAAAGCACCGAACCCTAAACAGCATGCCCAAATTCCCGATCGGAAATTGTGAAAAAAAAAAATGGTCGACTCCTCCCCCCGCATCGCGCTGGCTCCAAGCCGGCCTTGCGTCCACCATGGCCCTGGTGCTGGCAGCCTGCCAGCCCCTTGGCCCGGGCCAGCGCCGCCCACCCCCACCAGCGCCATTCCCTGACGGCCCGCCACCACCCACCGCGCCGCCTGCTGGCCCCGAGCCTGGCAGCCGGTCGCCTCGCGCCTCCACTGGCCGCCGCCATTGCCATGCCAACGCCTGCCACGCCGCCACGCCCGCCGTCGCCCAGCAGCCCAGCGCCCCCGGTGCCCCACCCCAAGCCGTTGCCACCACGCCATGTGGCGGCCGAGGTCACGCCCGCCTCCGTTCCCCGCCTCCGTCCGAGCAAGGGAGGTCGACCTGCCGGCCTTCCAGTGGCTCCCCCTAGCCGGCCTTTCCGCCTGACCCCACCCCGAGCCGCCCGTCGGCCGGGCTCTTTGTTGGAGGGAGGAGGAGGAGGGTGAAGTTGGAGAAGAAGAGAAGGAGAAGAGGAGAAGGGAAGGGAAGAAAAGGAGAAGAGAAGGAGGAAGGGAAGAGAAGGAGAAGAAGGGAAAAGGAGAGAAGAAAGGGAAGAGGGGAGAGGAGTACTCCAACGCCCGCTCGACCTCGCCGGAGAGAAGAAAGTGACCCCCATAGACTGCGACGCTGACTCCACCACAACCCTAGGTAAAACTCTCGTTGTCGGCCTTCGTGCAGTATGTGGTTGTGTGGGCCTTCGTCAGAATAACTTGATATGAGGGCCTTCGTGCCGTTGTGGTTGTCGCCTTCGCCGTGTGCGTTGGGAATGTCGACCATCGTGTCGCTTTTTTTTTGTAGAGTTTTGGAAACCTCCCGTGCGAGGGGAGGTGCTGCCAAATTTTGAACAAAAATAACCTATTGTCTTTTTTATGCAGGAGAAGAGTACGTCGGGGGACCCGGAGGACCCCGATCGTCTTCGTCGACGTCGTGGTTCTCCGCCTCGCCTGCAAGGCGCCACGCCATCTGCGTCGATTCGCCACGCCCGCTAGCCTTACTTCACCGACACCCTTGGTATAAATAACCTCTTTTTTGCGCATGTGCCGTCAGAGCCCGTGCGTAACCTAGTTAGGCATCTCCCGTCCAAAGAGATACGGTCGTAGGTATGCGGATCTTTGCGTATCTGCGAGCGATCTGCTTTCGGATTGTCCGTTTTTTTGGACAGCCCGTGGATGCGTAGATGGGTTAGTTTCCATGGTCCGCTCCGGTCCGAGAAGGAGTTTAGGCAACACCTCCCTATTGTTCTCCGGATACACACTCTCCCTTGCGGGGACGTGTATCGGGAGAACAACGGGAGGTCTTTGCCAAAATTTATCTCGGAGAGGAGCGAGCATGAAAACCCGACCTCATCTACGCATCCATGGTGTGGATTAGGACCTATCCTCACCTATTAGGCGGTAGAAACACACGCGTAGATACAATTGATGGTCACAATACTCTATGTTGTAAATGTTAAAGGATGGAGGACCGTTAGTGGATGTACACGGGCCGGAGAAAGGGAGTAACTACGACTATGAATGGGTGAAGGGATGATGGTTTCTTGAAACATGCATTTGGCCAGAGCGGGAGGACATTCTCTAGTTTGGTGTCCCTGCAGCAAATGTGACAATAGGAGAAAAGTAGACGAGAAGACCATGGGTAGACATCTTGTGTTCAATGGTTATATCGCTGGCTACAAAGCAGTGGATCTACCATGGTAAAGCGAGATCGTATAAGAGCGGAGGTGGTGAGAGCACGCCTCGAGGCTTTTGATGATGATGCCGGGGTAGCAGACATGCTAGATGACGCCCACCAAGCTCACTTCGCTGAACGACGTGAGAAGGAGGAGATGGAGGAATCCGCAAAGGACTTCTACAAAATGTTGGACTCGGCACAGAAACCCCTTCACGAGCGTACAATGATTTCTCAGCTAGATGCGATTGGACGCGTAATGGGGTTGAAGGCCGAGTTAAACCTGAGTCGAGAAGGCTTCGATAAGATGTTGGCCGTGTTTGGCACCATGCTACCGGAGAAGCACACTTTGCCGATGAACTTGTACGAGGCAGAGAAACTCCTTCGTATGCTTAAGATGTCGTATGACAAGATACATGTTTGTCCGAAGGGGTGCGTCCTATTTAGGAAAGAACATAAGGATGCAAATTCTTGTCTGAAGTGTAAATCCTCCACGCACTGGAGGTAGACTCGTGATGGTCGAAGAAGAAGAAGCGACTTCGATCCCCACGAGAGTGCTACGTCACCTTCCTTTCCTACCGAGGATCCAACGGCTATTCATGACCGAGGAATCCATGAAATAGATGACATGGCACAAAGATGGCAAATGGTACAATCACGGGAAGATGGTACATCCGTCGATCTTTGAAGCATGGACGTATTTCAATGACAAACATCGTGACAAAAGCATTTGAGGCTCGTAATGTACGTGTCGTGGCCGGCGGCAGCAGATGGGTTCAATCCTTATGGAATGATGGCTGTCCCATACACATCTTTGGCCCATTTTGTTATCCCCTCAATCTCCCTCCCGGCATCTCCTTTCAACGACATAACGTATTCTTGTCGTTGATAATTCCTGTACACCCGGGGAGTAATATGGGTGTGTTCATGGAGCCTGTGATTGATGAATTGATCCATGCTTGGGAGAAGGGGGTATGGACATACGATCGAGCTACAAAGACAAGCTTTAAAATGTACGTTTGGTACCATTACTCCCTGCATGACTTCCTGGCGTATGGGTTATTCGCCGCCTGGTGTGTTCACGAGAAGTTCCCATGCCCAGTATGCAAGGAAGCCGTGAGGTTCATTTGGTTGAAGAAGGGTGGCAAGTATTCGTCGTTCGACCAGCATCGTCAGTTCCTCCCTCTAAACCATGAATTTAGAGAAGACATCAATAGCTTTACGAAATGTGTCAAAGTGACAGACCCTAAACCGCACTTGAGGACTGGTGCCGAGGTTCGTGTTCAGATAGATGCTCTCGTGCCCAATGAAGAAGGTGGTTTTGTGGGATATGGTGAGGAACATATGTGGACTCATAAATCCGGCTTGACGAGGCTCCCCTATTTCGATGACCTTCTTCTGCCACATAACATTGATGTAATGCACACTGAAAAGAATATCGCCAAGGCACTTTGGGGAACTCTCATGGACACTGACAAGTCTAAGGACAACGTTAAGGCTAGAGTGGACCTAGCGACGTTGTGCAATAGACCGAATCAAGCGATGCAACCTCCTAGTGGCCAAAACAAGAACTGGAAAAGGCCTAAGGTCAATTTCGTCTTACAAATCGATCAAAGGAGGGAGGTACTAAAATGGATGTAGATATTAATGTTTCCAGATGGATATGCAGCGAATCTTAGCAGGGGAGTGAACTTAGGCACTCTACGAGTCAACGGGATGAAGAGTCATGACTACCACATATGGATTGAGCGGCTTCTTCCGGCGATGGTCCGAGGCTATGTCCCTGAGCATGTCTGGCAAGTGCTGGCAGAGTTGAGCTTTTTCTTCCGTCAGCTTTGTGCCAAGGAGATATCTCAGACCATCGCTCAGGACTTAGAAAAAACGGCACCTGTG